GAAATGATTAATTTGCTGTTCTCCTTCAATATTATGTTTACACAAGTTGATTATAGCACTTAATTACTAATTCACCCAGCTCAAAAACAAGAGTGCTTTAAATTTTTAATGAGATGAGGGAAGGCAGCATTCCTGAACTCAACAGGGAGAAGTCATTTTATTTCCTCTTTTGATTTCCCAAGTTATTACCATTTCTAAGGAAAAAGTTATCCCTTCCCTGATCTTCCACTCAGTCCTTGCTTTTGAAAATATGGAAATCATGGGACGCTTGCATGAATTTCAATCCATGGCCTGACAGGTAATGCTTTGGAAGAGGAATAGAGGATCAGATCATCAACTTCAGCACGTCCACTGAAATAAGTGGAACAAAATTACACCAGAAAAGGCTTGATCCAGAAATGGAAATGGCCTAACCCCCTCCAGTTCTGTCAGCACAAAAGTTGAATATGTCTCAGTACTATTTATGGGTGTTCTTATGAAAATGCTGTCTCTTCCCCATTGCCAGTTGGTCCATTACCAAGGTTGTGCACTAATTGTACTCAGGAACTTCTTTACATTCATGGCTGTCTGTAGCACTTTAATTGTTACAAGGCAAACACTCCATGTATCCTATGCTCTTCCTCGCTGATCTTTATAAAACTTGTGCTATCTGTGGGCTTTGTTATTTTTTTTTTCCCTCTGTGTTCTACCATCCAACATCATCCTCAGACAACTGAGAGATGTCCATTAAATGAAGTAAAACCCAGCAGTGCATAAACAAAACTCTTCTAGGCTCTGTAAGTACAGAGCTGTGAGTGAATTATTTCCCTGCACCACCTTAACTTCAACTCCCACCTGCAATACCACGATCCCCACGGCTCCTGGGGCTGCTCCCAGGGCTGCAGACTGGACCATGGGGGTCCTTTACCTGCTCAGCTGCTAAATAATTCAGCTAATCCACATGAGATAATTACCTAACACCTCTTCCTATAGAATCCAGCTCATTTTTTACACACCTCTGACCTGCTTTATAGAAACAATGAAAAAGCTTTTCCCTATATTTTAGCAGGATATACCATCAACTTGCTTAACAACCAAAACCAACAAAGGAAAGACTAAACCTCCCTTAAAAGTCAATTTGATAGCTGAAAAATCTTGTAGTCACGTCGATTCTAAATTCTAGCTCAGTGTTTCACACCAAAAATATTCACAGAAAGCTGATTACAGAGAGTTACCAACAAAATGCACTCTGGAAAATCAGAGTTTCTTCTCTCCCATGCTGCCCTATGTGAATGCAGCACTTCCAAAATAAATCTGGCAATCTGATTCCATACAGGTAATTTTATTAATTGCTTTAATACACAATTAAGGAATAGTCAGTGGGCTGCAGGGTTTTATAAGGCAATAATCCTGTTCCCTGGTGTACAGCTTTGTCCCAAAGAGTGGGCTATCCAAAAAAAAAAATTAGCTGGATGACTGCCAAATCAAACAGCACCTTCTTCCCATTTTCAATTACGTACGAGTGAGGCAGAGTAACGAGGATATACTGGAAACTTTGACATTTATTTATTGAACATTTCTACTGAGAAGGAATTGCTGGCTGGCTAAACCGGAAACTATATTTTTACTATAGAAACAATCCCACAGAAAAGCAGGATCCTGCTGCTCAGCATGAAAGGAATGGCTAGAACCAAGAAATTGACCCATCTAAGCCAGCAATGTTAAGGTTATTTCATTCAATACAGCACATATTTCAAAAATCCAAACCCCAAAAATACAGTCTCTATTTCAAAAATCTTTATGCCACACTGTTTTACACAGACTGGCTGAGCACCGGGGCTCAGCCAGGCTGTGTTAGAGCTCCCACAAAACCACTCAGAGAAAAAAGTGTGCAGCATTTCTTGGGGCAAATTAAAAGATAAATCAAGAAGAAATTCAGAGGATTTTATCCCCTTTCTGGACTTTCTAGATACTAAATAACCAAGAGATGAAATGGGGAAGAACTCACCACACTAGGGTTTTTTTTTCCATTTTTGGATAGACCAATTGTTTTACCACAGAGGAGAAAAATGCAGGGAGAGTAAATGAAGAGGAAAATAGGGAAGTCAACATTCTTTGAAGCAACAACATATGGTGACCAGGACTGAGAGATGGAGGTTATAAATCTTCCCTTGATAGAATTACCTAAAGATGAAATTGCAGCTTCAAGGGGCTTGAACTTTTCAATGCACACTAGAAGCTTGCAAATTAACCTGTTTGGTCACAGCTTGTGCATTAATCTTCATTTCCAAGGCTTCTCTGTAAAGGATCTGTTTATTGAGAATTTTGGTACTATTACAGGTGTGGTCAGTAGAAAGCATGAAAGCATATTTCACTTGAAATATGAAGAAAAATATGTGAAAAGTAAGAATTAGAACAAAATGCTAAATTGTTTGAAGAGCTGCAGTATGGGAAGGGAGAGGAGACAGGAGGCATGTTGCTGCTTGTTTCTTTGTGAGAATAAACTTATTTAGGGATAACAAAAGATAAAGAAAAAGCTTTTAGTGTTCCAGCCACCATGACCAAGACAGGTCAGGGTGAGGATCCTGCTGTCCCACATGGGTGCATCAACATGTGGTGAGTGATTGCCTGCCCTTGGGAAAGCCATCCTCTGAAGCAGCTGCTTCCCCATCTCAAACCCCAGTGGTGGGGCACCACAGCACCAAGCAGCAGGACTGTGCAGGAGGATGAGAGTACAGCAACACCACAGCCACACACCTACCCCAGGAAATGCCACCCAATTCCAGCACATTTCTTACCTGTTCAGCTAAATAAAGCCTAACTCTGACTACTCCATAAGGTTATCACAGAGTTGGCTCTTCCCTAGGTGACCCACCCTGTCTTTCCTCTGCTGAAAAGGATGTCCTGGCAGATTTTGAGGATCATGTCTTTGTGTCCAGATTCTGACTGAGGCAGCTGCTCTGACCTGGCTGCCCCATGCCCCAAATACCTACAGGATGCACATTCCATCAAATTCAGAATCCCTGGTGGGCAGCAGCCAGAGCTCTTCTCAGCAGAATATGGTAAAGCTGGACTAAGATTAGCAGAAGTGATTTGGAGGGATCCAGATTTGGGTGCAACTTCCAAGCTGTCCTAAAACTGCTTGAGTTTTAGAAAGTGGAGAACAGCCAACCATTAAAAACCAGGGAGATTTTAAACATTTTGATTCTGACACTCAGTAGAAATGTCCAAAAATTGTTCTGAGAAATGTAACCAGAGACTGGGGAAAATACAGTAAAAAAATTCCCTTCAAAAAAACCACAGACATAAGGAGAGAGGTTATTGTAAAAAAACCCACAGTTCTCTCCTTTACTATTACACTGAGCAAACAAAGAGCTCTGGAAAGCACAGTAATTAAGCACAAACCATCTATTAGAGGAGAGATAATAACCTGTATTTGCAAAGTCTACAAAGATGCTGCATGTTTGCAACAGCACCTCTAAGAATGGGTTGTTTTAGAAGATGTGTTACAAAAATAAATGTCAGAGAGGTTATTGAACTACAATGGTAGATACACATTTACACTTCCTTGTCCCTAAAATAAATGTATTCAGTTTCTCCTTTGTGATGCCATGCAGCTAAATTCTTCTAAAAATATTCGTATCTGAAATTACTGGATATTCTTCTGAAATATTTTTATATAGAGAGACAGGGTTAAAAGCCAAAGATAAGTGGATACATGAAAATTGTATAAAACACAACACATAAAACTTCACAGTATTAGATTTTTCCAATGCTGATAAAAACAGACTTAATAAAATCAGTTTTGAGATGTTCAGTTATTGTACAGTAGCAGAAACATCCTAGACTTGGAATGAAATATGTGTTTGAAGGCAGAAGATTACCAGATGAGTAAGAATTAAATATGAAGTTCTGCCACCAAAAGTTGCTACTGAAATTACATTTATCAAAGTAAGGCCTCCTCTTACAAGCACCAGAATTATTACACACAGACATCTATGCTGCAATGTGTATTTGCTGCAATGGGATTCACTGGAATGGAAACATTCTTATGAAAGGAATGCTCTTCCTGCTAACCTACATAGCCCTGTAGAATATTCCCATTTGGAGAAGTGCCAAGCACAGCCCAGCTCCTCGGCTTATGTTGAGCTGTTTATTGATTCCAGTGGAACTGCACCAGTTTAACCAGGTTGAGGAGCTGGCCTCCCTATTCACAAAATATCTCCAGATAAGCTTCTGTGTAAAATTTCATCTACAAATATCAGTGCCTGGTGTTATAAAGAAAAATGCAACAAATGTATTAGGGATCATCTTGATAAATCATTTTGTCCAACTGCATTATGCTGTTCAGTGTTCTTGTGCAGCATGAGGAGAGGACATGGCTTATGGGATTGCCAGGTGGGAAAAAAGGCATGATTTGGGACAGTCTTTGGGTTTCTGATGCCACTGCTGTTTGTATAAATGAAGCTAAGCCATGCTTTGACTGATCCACTAAAAATAAAAGCCTCACTGCTACTTTTTCAGCTGTTAGTGGACTGAAATAACATGAATGAACAAGAAGTTCCATTCTCATTATTAACTCTGCATTCACTGGGAGAAGAGCTAAGATGTGTTATTTTTTACTGCATAAATAATGCTATGTTGCTTCTTATGTTTAATATTCCTCAATATGAAGGGAGGAAAGTAAGGCAAATGTAACTGAGATCAAAGTGTGAGCTTCCTGCAGGATCAGAGCCTTTCCAAATTCCCTCTTTTGTCTGTAAAGCTACATGGGCTAACTTCATACACAGCAGCTTCTATGCATGTCCCCACAGTCCAAAGACAAATGAATCCTCAACACACCTAAATAATATCTGGAGTTAAACAGAGGGTGGAGAGAAAGCGATGCTGGATCCTGTCTGGATGTGCAGAAGGGACAAACTTTTCCACTTGGATTAAGGTGTGTGCATGGGTGCCAGAAGTCAAGGTGTAAAACACATTAAAACTGAACAAAAAATGACATAAAATCAGGTGCTGAATACCTGGATAGATGCAAAATCCCCAGAAGCACAAGCTCCAAGAATAGCAGCACCCACCAAAACAGACTCCACTTCTTTGGACAGCACAACAGGCTTGCCTGCAGAGGGAAGAGCCAGGCCTCTGTTAGGGAACACAGCAGCACCAGCAGCTTCACAAATAATTAAAACCCAAAAAGACAATCAAAAAAGGAACCAAAAAGGGCTTGAAAACCATTATTCAAAACCCCATTTACAGCTACATCCTGCTGTAGGTTAATGTAAATCTCTCTGCTCTGTGGTTCCAGGCTCCAAGAAAAGTGCAGCATTTAAATAAAATCATTTTACCAAAACATTAACGCAGAACATAAAACACACAAAAAACAACCCCCCAGATCTTTGACACTGGCTATTTATCTCACTCAAAGGACTTGGTATAAACCTGTTACCCACACCCTCCAAACCCACGTGCCTATTAAAAGTTGACCTGGAGGGGAAAACAAGGCGGTCTCCTTTTTGTTTCTTTTGCAACAAACAAAAAAAGATTGTTTGTGTTTGGTTTTGAACACACAGCCAACAAAGCCAGTCTGGTTTTGCTGGAAGACATGAAAATGTGAGTAGCAAACTTTCTCAAGCTATGTATGAAATAATAAGAGAAATCTTGTCTTCCAAATTGTGCAAGATACTCAAAAACAAAATTAAAACACTGGAAAAACAAGTAAACAATATATATTCTAAAGCAGAATTAAATTAAATCACCCATGGGTACTATCAAGAACATCCTTCCCCTTGGTTTATGCAGAATTTTCTGAGACCTAGCATAAAGAAAAGCAGAAAAAGGCTAAAAAAACAAATAAAAATTAGCCTGCTTTCTTAATTGCCCTGCAAAATCTAAACCAAGAGCACGAATCTAAATACTTTTCTAGCTGCACTTCAGATGCTTGTCCTCGCTATGTGGAAAAATTCAATATTCCTGCAGTACTTGGCATGTGTCTGCATTTCCAGCACTGAGATAATGTCATTCAGTGAATGATGATGCAAACACAGGGGTGGGAGCAGGGACTCCTCACAATATCTCCATGATATTATGCCCCAAAATTGCTTCTCCTGAGAGCCAGCTGTAAGATCAAAAGGAGCTGAAATTTGGGTGAAGTCCTAAAATCAGCCACAAACTCCTATAAAGGAAAAAAGGCAAATGAGTAATAAAATTATTAATATAAAAAGCAATTAATGACACAAGGCATTCAGTCACTTGATGCAAAGCTTGCCCTGTCACCTGAGCAATCCTCCAGTTCAGCTGAAGCACAGCTCAGGACTTGGGTCAGCTTGGAACAGCAAATCTAAAGCTCAAGCTCAGAGCTCCGTGGCTCTTTGCCAGGCGTCAGTGAGCAATTTTCAGCGTGCTCTAAAATTTACTGCCCATTTCCCGCATCGTCAGAATGAATACCGAATTCTTACCAGGCAAACAAAAAGATCAAGATACTTTTTAAGTGGCCTGTGGAATTATCTATTGGATGTCTGCATGGCTGAGTCATGGGCATTTGTCGCTAACAATAATATATTCAGATTTTTTTTCTTTTCAGGAAAGAATGGGGGATTGATCCTGGAATGTTAGTTATTTTATCTGATAGGCTCTAATGAGTTCAACATAACCAAGAGCATTTCAGTCAGATGAACTCTGACATCTCTTGTCAGTCACTGATTTTACAAATGGGGGAGAACTCCAAACTGCAAAAAGGCCTTTTTGTATTGAATTGTACTTGGCCATTAGTTACAGTCAAAGAACTTGTGATTACATTTTAATCAGAATACCTTTTCACAGATCTTTTCTTTTACACATCACAACCCAGCAGCCCAACTCTACATGTAGCTGAAATTCACCTAAAATACGTGAGTTTTTGAAGGAAAGGCATTGACTTAACATCATTTTTCACAAAGCATCACTTTGACTACAATATATTTAGTGAATTTTAAGGTCAACAGGCATTATTTTTTTGCTTGTCCGTCATGGTTATAAAGTGTGGTTTGACGTTAGGGCAAGTCAGATCTCCAGACCAAACACCCCAAATTTGGGCCTTAAACTTCATTTATGACACCTTAACTGATCTTAATTTGAAATAAACCCAAAACACACATCGCTCAATGTTTCTCTGAAGTCCTTTACACTAAATTTTGTTATTTTTTCCACATTTTTTGAAGTATATTCAACTGACTCGCAGGTGTGTGGAGATGTCCAACACACACAGGATGAAGGGAGACCAAAAATGCCATGGGGAGGCCTGAGAGCTCCTCTCACATACCCATGGCCTTCCACCCACCAGGAATTCTACAAAACCAAGAGCAACACCTTGCAGGAGCAAGGATCCAGATGTTGTCCCCTAAACCACATCAGTGACAAAGGTATGGAACAATTCAGAAAAGAACTGTTCTATAGAATGGATACAAGCCCAGCATGAGCAGGAAGTGTCACAAGTCAAATAGGATGAAGCCAATAAAAGGAACATTTAATTGCACATTTTTTTGGCCATGCAGCAAAATACAGCTCTATACAAAGAAAATTTTTATTTTTCCAAAAACAAAGTACTTAGACACCTAAAAAAAGGTATTTACCCTTCTTTCCATGCACTTCCCCAGGCTTACCAGTAATGTCAGCATGCATCTGCACAAAGAGAGGGTTCTTGCTCAGCCCACCACACAGGAACAGCGTGGTGATGTCATGTCCTGCAGCCTGCATCACCTCCAAAATATGTCTTGTTCCTAACTACAAAAAGGGGAGAAAAAACAGAACCAGATGAGCACAGGAGAACAGCCACAGGAACAGGACTACACCTGCATGGCAAAGACATCCCCACCAAAACCTTCTCTTTACTTTGTACAACAGCATCTGAAAATCAAGCTCAGTAAAGAGGTTTCAATTCTGAAGCCAAATAGCAAAACAGAACAAAAAGAGAACAGCAAATAAAAAACTGTTTTCTGTCTTTTCAGCAAAAAGGAAAACCTGAAGAATTTTGTATTGGCTTAACTATTTCTCTTGGCTTTTGCCCTATGCAAAATAAAAAGTTCCACTTCATGGCTGGATTAGTTGAAACATCTTGAATGCAGGCATATTTTAAACTTTTCATTTATGGTCTCCATTCTGAGAAACTCAAATCAGAATGGCAGAAGCAAATTCTTTTCCATTTTCAGAAAATAAAATCTCTTTTCTTTTTGTTTGCTTTGCTTCCCTCCTCACTGAAGTCAACTTTCTCCCTATTTCCCTCTTGCAAGAATATTTTCCATTTCTTTGACAAAGTATTTGACAAAAAATAATTCCCAGCTCTTTATAATACCTTGGAAGTTAACTTTGAAGCTCAGACTTGACAAAACGTAAAATTCAAGGCAAAATGTTGCCCAGGCTGACTCTAAGCAGATTCCCCACAAAACACAATCTGGTCAGAGTTTTCATAAACTGTTATTTAAGTTTTCTTTAGGCCATGCTGCAGTTCACTAAAAGGGCTGCAGCTGCAAAACCTCTCTTCAAATAAAAGCTACTGAAAATTGAATTTGCAAGGGTTCCACCAGGCTGGAGACATCCACAGTGAATGCCCAGTGCTATTCTGGACAGGCCTTCAAATGTATTTTGATTTTTAGACAAGCAGTTCAGAGGAACCTGAGCAGCCCCAGCTGACTAAATCCATCGCTTCCCTATTGACACAGAGAGCTGATTTCCAAATCACACAGCCACGATTTTAATTATGGAAAAACAAACTGCTCCAAAAGGAGTCTGCCTGCTCAGAACGGGCTGGACGGCCACAATTACATCTCTGATCATGTTCTCATCTGGCCAACTGTTGCATTGCATTTTGCAGTGAATAGTTAAAAGGAGATTCTCTTTCACTGCTTCTGAAATTCAAATTTATTAACAACTTCTCTCACAACATACACACGTCAAAGACCCTGAGAAAGAACATGCTGTGAAAATTATTTTGTGTTTACCTGCCTGGAAAATTGTATTCACATCACAATTTAAATTAAAGCCGGACTTATTTCACTGTGGGTGGGGGGGAACTAATTTAATCCTGGGTTGGAGAAAATGCAAATTGAGGGGCTTCAAATGCAAATTTTATATGAAAAGGAAAAAGCATCTCCTGCTGAAAAGAAAACTAGAGATTAACATTCTGTGGGCAGGCCTACACTTTGTACAAGATTTTTACATAGGTTTAAAGTTTATATTGCACCCATTGAAGACAGCTAATGGTACAGGATTACTACAACTGTTTCCTTCAATAAAAGTGAAGCTAAAATTGAGAGTGAAAATTTAATTTCTTAGGTATCCCATTAGCAATTAGTAAATATATTGAGTCTAAACTAATGCTCTCTGTCTACTTTATAGTTACTGTTTCAATAATGCTTTGAGGAAAAAATAATTTCCCTTAATTTAAAGTGAAAAGAAAATTACAATATGGCCTTTTTATATTAAATCAGCCCAGTCAGCTCTCTGAAAGATATGCAGCTGCTGAATCTACTGCTCAAGAAAGTATTTGTGTTTTACAATAAAGTTTGAGCTGTATCATATAAGGAGATAATAGGTGACTTTCCCAGGATTTCCAGCAGAGAAGGTTTCCACTTCGTTAGCACGAGATAATCACAGGGCACCTGTTCCAGACTGGGAAGTTCCTTTCAGGGGCAGGATCAGTCCCTGGCATTGTTTAACCTCTCCTCCACATTCTTCTTTCAATGGTGGGATTATACTGAAGCATCAGGTATAACCCAGCTACATCCATCTGCAAAAGGCTCCAAAGTCACAACAATGAATCCCGGGCTGGGGTTAAGTTCTATTTTTTACTGAAGAGGGAGGGTTAACACATAAAATGAACAATTCCCAGTAAATTTACAGCAGCCGCCCACCCTCTCCATCCCAGATGGCTGACCCAGCCTAGAAAAGTTGTTGTTTAACCAGGAGAGGAGTTTGGAAGTTTTCCAACTGAACAGAGTTTTGTCAGGAAAACTCCCCAATTCATCAGACTGTTCATGTTTTGCAAAAAAACACCTCGAGTTCAACAAACTTTAAAAAAAAAAAAAAAAATTGTCAGGAAGGACTTTAAAGGAATATGGATTTCAGTCACCAGAGGGCTGGGGACAGCATGTCCCACTGGAAACACCAGGCTTTCCAAACCACTTCTGTGAGCCAGGGTTTCACCTCAAAACAGAACTTCTCGTGAACTGGAAATCCTGGGTCCAAGAGAAAATCAGGGCAGAAAGAGAAGTATTCCAATGAGATTCCCCATCCCTGCGTGCTGACAAACACGAGGAACATTTCCCAGCCTCCCTGCCCTCCCTGCTTGCCCAGCCATGGCCACAGGCTGGGACTGCTCCCCTCGGGGCAGGGACACCAGGGGAGAAGCTGTGCCCTGGTGGGTCTGAAGCACAGCCCTGCTCAGCCTGGCACAGAGCTGTGCCTCACCCACCGGGCAGGGAGGGCAAACCCATGGATATGGGAACAATCTGAAGCTGAGGCTTTTCAGGGCAGCACAGAGCCCTTTGTACAACTGCCAGAGCTTTTCTCCCCCTTTCTCAGCCTCCCTCTAGACAGCTGGGATGTTAACACTGCTCCTTGTGCTGTCAGCCTCCTCCCTCACATCTGCACCAGAGGCAAAAGCTCGCCTTACAGAATTGCCATAAAGACAAGATGTTTTAGGGGAACATCTTCCCCCACAGTCTGCTGATAACCCTCCAGTGGGAGTGGTCACCAATGTGGGTGAACAGTATCTTGCTCCTCTAAGAAGCCCATTAATTGAATTCATTATTGGAAATCTGCTTAGCAGAAGGGAATGATTAGTCTGCACAGAACACGAGACAATTCATTTCTTCTTTTATGCACCAAAAATGTCTTACAGCAATGGCTTGGATTGTGGCCAGGTAGATAAGGGCAAGTTCATCCAGACCCCGAGACAACGTTAGTCCAACAACCTGTGCAAAGATCAAAAAGAAGATGTAAAAATCCAGCCAAAGTAAAACTCTGTTATTCTCTATGGCTTCTTGTTGTAACAAGTTTTAGTGCTAATTCCAAGCCTTACTCCTGTGAGCTGTACACATAATGTTATGTTAAACATGTTATTCCTGATCTGGGGAAGAACCACATAAATTATCCTTGCCCTTGTGAAGAAATAAAGAACAAACAGAGTATTGTATGGGATTAGAGATAGATTAACTCCGACAGTTTTATGTTATGACTCAGATATTGCTCGTGAATGTATTTAATGTAATAATATGAAAATTCTATTACATAAAAATAACTTTATAAAAGCATTTCTCCCCTCCCTCCCAAGTACCCTGACACTGAGACACAATTAATAATTAAATACTATATCTTAACCTCCTTACTCTGGCATAAATCAATACTGCACTGTAGTTACTGTGGATTAATATCAGGCAAGACCTGAACGCAGACAGAATTGTGACAGAAAAAATGGGTTGCTATTACCAGTATTTGCATACAGGCATCATACCAAGGAAAGTCTGATTTTTCTGCAGTATGTAATTCTTTCATAAAATAATGGAGATATTATTAGGACCCAAAAATATATAGGTCCTTGTATTATTTTAATGTCTCCCTCATTTGTGGCTTAAAACACGCAGCAGTGCTTATGCCTTTCCTATCTCAGCCTTAAATGCAGCAGATTTTGGTGCTGGTGAGTAGCTTGAGAAGCTCACTTCAAGGACAATTTGTCATTTTGAAAGAGATTTTTGCACTATTCACCAGGTATTTTGATATTGCCAAATGATACTCTTATGATACCCTTCTGTTACAGTTCTGCACAGCCCTGGCTTGTGAGTGAGCTGATCTACCACTCTGTAAGGAAGAGGAACACCAAACTCTGAAATATGGGCTGAAAAGCTGTTTAAATCAACCATATATATCAGAATATTTCATTCCTTTCCCAGACAGGTTTATCCAAATTTCTTATTAAATTCATTGCAACAAATTGTAAGATTTGGTAGACAGGTGAGATAACAACACCAAGAGCTGTGAAATGTGATTCCTAGGAAAGGTACCTGGACACACACAACATTCCTCAAGTTTTTAGAAAATTAATGTGGCTGTAGTAAATATCTCAAGTACAATGATCTCTGGTTTTCTACTGAAACATCAGCAATGCAGCAAGAAACCCAAATCCTTTGGGATAGTGTAAATAGCTAAGGAGGAGCACAGTCAAAATTGAAGAAAAGCTCCTTCCAAACTGCCTTTTTTTTTTTTTTTTTTTTTTACCCTGTATTGACCTTTTTGCAAAGACAGGCTGTTTCTTACCATGCCCTTTAGTGTCAGATCTGTTAAGGGAGATCTGTTACCATGGAAATCTGGCCAAACATGTAAATCAACAGTGAGGAAACCCACAGGCAAAGATTTCTTAATCAGATCCAGGTGACTGTTCAAGTATGTATATATACTGTGAGCACTGCAAGAAAAACAAGTTGGAAAAAAAGGGGGAAGGTTATTCCTCAAACATAAAACATTTGTACTACCACCAAATGCAGAAACCCCACCAAAGCATGGCAAAATCCCACTGCCTGCCAAGGCCATGGCAGTGTAGGGATGTCTGTGCACATGTGCTCAACAGGCCATCAGAATTCCTTAATTTCCAGGGATGAGAGGGGATAATGTGACCTTGAGTTTGTCCAGGGACTCCTAAGAGTCCCCAGAACTGTTTGAGATTTGGGGGATGCTGCTACTCCTCTCCCACAGCTGAGAGGGAGGAGTGGGGATTCCAGACAGAAATGAAAACCAAATAAATTCCTTTGCAAATGTTTAAAAATTTCTCTGATTAATCAATAGTTCTGGATGTACAGCTTTCCTTTTTTAAACCATAATTATTTCAGTGTGTGCTATGATTAAAATGCAGCACTAAGGGTGGAGGAGAGAAAGTGAGTGGCTGCTATTTTAGGGAGGAGCCCAACATGGGCCTGAATATGATTGTATCTAAGTTCAGATGCTACACCCAACTCCACAATATCCAGCAGACTTTTTTCCTGGACTTAGGACTAATGGTGAATTCTTCAGCGCCTTGGCTTGCAATGACTCTAGTGACATTCCATTTTAAAAATGTTGCAATTATGCTCAGAATATTTTTTTCAAACACTCATCCTATCACAAACAAACCCATATATATTTTCCAACTCCTTGGAAATCTCCAAGTGGGGTATTTAATTCTAGACATGTGGGTCAATAATAGCATCTAACCCTAATTACAATTGATTAGTCATTGTCTCATCCACTGCAAACCCAAACAGTGATATTCATTTAGCCTCTACATGTATATTCAATCATGCACTAATGAGATCCCTAAGGGAATTTGGCATATGCTTTACTAGTTTGACTTCTGACCCACTAGCAGCTGTATATTTATACTTTGCATTCAACCATTCAGCTGCATGTTTTTTCAATTATACCTTACCATGTGTACATTATCAGAGGATATCATTCAAAATGAAGTACACTTGGAAGACATTAAAATAACTAATTTACATCATTATTCACGTCCTTTAAAATCTACTTTATGTGTCTTCCTGGACCCGAATTATGATAATTTGGAGGTCACCATCACTTCTTTCCCGTTCTTGTAAAAGTGGCCCTGTTTTCTCCATCCCTAAAGACTCCACTACAAGCAGTACATGCTAAAGATAAAGTCATTTTAATTCCAGCCTCAATCATGGCTTGACTGTTGGGAAGGATAAAAAAAGGAAAGCTTCACTCAACCACAGACCCACCAGACATCCCAGCCTCTCTCTCCTCTCCATCCTGGCTGATTGCTCTCACAAGGATTAGCCATTTGTGCAGCTCTATCAGAACACAAGGACTGAACAAAAGGAGGCTGAAGTTGAGCCAAATATGCTTAAGATCCACATAACCTTGGAATTACGCTTTTTCCCACACATTTTCATATTTTATTTGTTTTCCTAAATACAGATAAGGGTTCAAGGCACTACATTTGGATTGAGTGACCAGCAAAATCCCTTGAACATTTGCCAGATCCTGTTTTACCACCTTTGTGTTTAAAACAGTATAACACCATCACCTCCTGGAGCTTTTTCTACTCAGTTCTCTGTGAAAGTATCAGTGGCAGCTGCCTCTGACCTGCAGAACTGAGCATGAGCTGTTGCCCTGAAAAAGGAACTGTGTGAAAGTGGAGATAAGAAATCAATGCAAGCGTGGCCAGAGTTATGTTTGTACATGGACACGACTTCAGAAAGCAACCAGAGGTTGGTATTTAATCTATTCAGGAATCATGGAAGATGCCAGCCATTTTTTTCTCAGAGAAAAAAAAATTCAAAAGTTTTAGATTTCTAAATTTAAAAAAAATAAATGTTCTAAGCCATCTAGAGATAGAGGGAACTGCCAAATATGATTCTTAAATTCTGCTAGTAGGACCACAGAATAACTGGTGGATGCTGTGTGTGTAACTTCAATGCTTTCTTTTCAGGAAACATCTCTTTAGATGGGGAAAAGACACTGAGATCCATAGGAAAGGGAATTCTGCCCTAAAACATCATCAAGTGACAAATGATATACAAACTTTGTTGTCATTTAAACACTTTTCTTCTCTAGCAGATTAGAAATGGTCATTCTAGAAAACAGAATTATTTAAACTTTAAAGCAAAAAGGATCATATTATTTAATTTACTACTCTAATCTACCTGTACAGGATTTAACAGAGCAGAAATGATTAAATGTCAGACCTACCCAATTTGTAGGACAATGAGCAGAAGTGATACATCACAGCAATTTCTGTAACTCGCTGAATTGCCTGAAAAACCCCAAGTTTTGGTGCTCACAGATTGTGCCCATCAGTTAGACCAAATGCTAAATTTAAATTGTCTAGAAAATCCTCATTCAACCCTCTCCACTTCCAGTAAAAGAAGGGTAAAAAGGAACCCAGGAATAGGACTGGCAGGGTTGCACAAGCCTGGCCTTCAGCAGCAGTGGTCAGAGCTGGTTGTCTGAGCCTCTCACCCTCACAAGTCACCACAAATCTCTGCACCGGTGCTAAAACAGCTGGAAATGGCAAAGGAGAGTTTGCACAGGGAAACTCCTGAAATCAGCTGTTCAGCAGGGACCTGCCATTCCAAACCTGCTTCTTAGCAGCATCAGGAGAAAGGGAGGACAGGTTTGGAGAGGCAGAAGGAGGTGATTGGCAGCAGCAAGCAAGAGCCATGGATTTGTGACCTCTGATGTTCTTTTTTTAATGATCCAGACATGCATGTGTTTAACTCTTCACTGCACTCTTCATGCACCCAGTATGGGAAGTAAAGGCAATATGGAATTCCACACCAAAGTATGGAATTCTCATTTGTTTTCCCCTCCATGGATATTTGCAATGGCTGAACAGATTCAAATTCCTACAGCCGCACAGAGAATATCCTTAAACATAATAAACCAAATTCTCTGAATTGTTCTGCTGAGAATTCCAGGGAAATAATTAATCATCATCAATAATCCCCCAAAACAAGATACCATGTTTGAAGGGAGCCTACAGAGAGACAATCACAAGGGCCTGGAGTGACAGGAGAAGGGGGAATGGTTTCACAGGGACAGAGGGCAGGGATGGATGGGATATTGGGAAGGAATTCTTCCTGGTGAGGGTGGGGAGGACCTGGCACAGGTGCCCGGAGAAGCTGTGGCAGCCCCTGGATCCCTGGAAGTGTCCAAGGCCAGGCTGGATGGGGCTTGGAGCAGCCTGGGGTAGTGGAAGGTGTTCCTGCCCATGGCAGGGGTGGCACTGGGTGGGCTCTAAGGTCCCTCCCAACTCACACCATTCTGTGATTATTTTTATTCTGTGTATATGACTTAAAAGTAGGTAAACACATAATCCAGAGTTTTGGCCAACAGCAGCTGCTACTTGTACCCATGATAAGGCTGAAGTCTGGGGAATGATGGAAAAGTAGAAAGGAAAAAATAAGGAGAAAAAAATAAGTTCAAATTTCAAAGTTCCTGATTTTTCTTCATTCAAATTAAATTCTTTAAATATAATAAATATTTGAGAAGCACAGGGAGACAGAAGGTGAGAGAATTAATATGAGACTTGTTTAGTAAATTTATAACAATACCAATGTTTCAATAGAAGAGTGATACCTGGAAAGAATTACCAGAATACCATTGAGCAAATTAACTTAATAAAATACTATCACTGGTTTTATAAAATATTACAGCTCTTACTATCAGTGCTATTCTCCACCATGTTACTAACTGCAGGAGAGTCAAATCCAGCGTTATGACACCATACCCTTGGATAACATGGAGGTCTACTGCCAATATTCTGTGTTTAGTGTCCAGTTCACATCATAATCTCAGTTTTTGCACTGTGGCGTTGTTTGTGGTCAGTCAGTTCAGTATCAGATCCAGCAGACACAAGCAGGCTACTCCATAGGCATTTTTCCAACAAAAAAAAATAATTTATCCTGGCATTACAGACTAAATTGTTTGTCTTATGCTTGTGCTTCAAATGGGGGCACTGGAAAAATGGCCTGGAAGCCAGAATTTTGAAAATGACCCAGTTCAATCTTTATTCCAAACATACACAGATGCATTTATTTCCTGATTTCCTTTTCCAGAGAACAACAAAGAGAATTCTAGGAAGCATGAATCTGTTTCATATTGAATCAAGTCCAATACATTTCTGGGAATCCTGGTCAAGTTCTTAACAAACAAGTAAGGCAGTGGGCCCTGCAAGGCAAGGAAGGGTCATCCAGAGAAACCAGGTAGAGCTTTATCTCCCCAGGGAGGACTGAAAATATCCCTGTAACAGCACGTGCTTAATCCATCTGTCAGGACTGACTCTGCCTCTCAGACCAGAGGGAGAACTGAAGGGAAAATGCCAAGTTTTATGGTTTTTTTTTCTTTAATCTAAGGAGGAAAAAGATATTAAAAGAGAATCACATTTTCATCCAACATGCCCAACTGTTCAGCTAAGACCTCTCTGGGAGTGATGGGAACCATCTTAGAATGAATCCAAGCCAAAAAAGCTTGAGGAAGTCCAGACCTGACAGAAGTGTCTGAACTGTCTTCATCCACTTCTAAAGCAGAAGAAGCTCAAATTCCACATCACACACAACCTCTTGTTCAAAGAATCCTGGAGCTACCTCCAAGTCACCCTTCCATTTAAAGTTTTGTCTGAAAATTCATCCTGGGTTTCTGTTCTATTTGTGCTGCCAAGCAGGAGTTTCTCACACAGTGGCTACACCTTCCTTTAGATGACTGTTTGAAAAATACTGAATAATATATTCCTAATTAAGCTACAGCCCATCCTTGGAGCTTAATTATTTCACCTACAAATTAAGACATATTGTTAGCCCAAGGCATGGAGGTCTGCTGAACAGGGCTGGTGCTATGGAATCAAGAAATACCTTGGGCTGGATTGAAAAGCAAAAAGTTCATATGTTTGCAAAGGTATCTGAGGGCAGTCTAAACCTTATATTTATGAGCAATCACCTGGAAAGTCTTTGTAAATACTTCCAGCTCACTATCAGAGTGTAAATTCCCCTAACTGAGAATGAGGACACTGCTGGGAATACAGTGTGCCTCAGTGTGTAAGGCAGGTATATGATAAAGGAATAAAACAGTGACCTGGCTGCAGCTTTTGCCTCTAATTCTGGGAAGGCGACGTGGCCTCGCACCACATGATCGATCTGAAAAAGAGAAAAGCAACATTTTGGGCATGATTACATCTTGAAAATTCAATCCTGGAAAAGGGAAAGGAGTGTCACAGCTCTAAAGAGAAGAGAGCTTCTAAATTACTCATGAAGTGTTAAATCCTAGCCCTAGCAAAGCCAATGGCAAAACTCCCACTGAAGTTCAGGATTTGGCATATAAACAGTAAGAAAAACAAGCAACCTTGCACCAAACCCAGATCAAATGCTAATCATGCAGCTCCTCAGTCAGAAAAGTAAGGTGAAAGGATGACTTTTTTTCAGTCCAACACGCCCTGCATGTCCTCTAGTCTCTCCCATTCTGCATGGATATCCTCACTGGAATTCTACCAAAGCATCTTCTTGGCCCAAATCCCTACATCATCTTTCTCTATCACACTGTTATGATAAAACACAAGGTGTGTTGTCATCCTGATAGATGCTTCATGCATTCATTGCAGGAAACAAAATGTATACCCTGAGAAGCAATTATTGCTATAAAAGAAGATCAATATAAGCTCTGTCTTATGCTGAATTTATAAGTCAGCTTGTCCTTTCACTCCAAAGTGGTTACCATTACTCACAAAACAAAGTATCAGGTAGAATAATATGGGCTTTTAAGACAATAATTCAGCAGGTTTTGTGGCCTCTTGGGAATATCCCATCAGAGGTGACAGTAAAAGCTAAGGAGGCAAAACTATAGCTGCTCAAGAGCACTGAGTATATTTGGCAGTACTTATTGACAGCAAATCACATTAGTATTTTATCTTAACAGCATGAGTCTAGTCCTGAACCGCATAATGAAGCATACACATGTGAACACAGCAAAGAAAATAATGCATGACTGTTCTCCCTGAGATCAGCATCAAAGACAGAGTTCAAACATGTGCATGCTCCAGAAACACAGCTCAGGCCCGAATTCTGCAATCCTGCAGAATCTCTTCACAACACAGGGGCAGCTCATAAATTCAGAAATAAATCTATAAATAAATGTCATATTATAGGTGTGTGCTATCAAAACACTGTTACATGGAACTGTTACAGGAGTTATGAAGTTTGCCCTTAATTCAAGCCATGGCCACATGAGGGATGCATCTAGAAACCCTTTTCTGCTATTTTTTATTTCACAGTGTGTAATGATGTCATGCCATCCTTTGTCTCTGTTGTGCAATATCTTTTTTCTTATAAATTTTGAAAATACAGCATAAAACCCCACTGAATATACAACTAAACAAGAATTTGCAGAACAAGCAACTTCTTAGTTCTTCATTTTGACTCTATTTAAAACAGTTTTCAAAATCCAACTGATTTCTTTTGCAGCTGTATCCCCCCAAAAATTAGAGCTTTTAAAAGAGATCAGTTTTCCTTTTAAGAAGTTTGATCAGACTGTTCAAATTTTATGGAAATAATTCACCTTGGGGTGTTGATCAAACAATGGAAAGAATCCCTAAACATGTCCTTTGTTTTGGTATGTTTTCAGAAAACTTTAGGTGTGAGAAAACAGGAGCTTTGAAATGAGAGATAATAAATGCAATGTACCCTGCACAGTGCACGTGGCACTGCCTCCTCCCACGGCTCCCTCTGTGTTTTCTGTTCACACCACCTCAAGAAAACCACACGGGACATTCCAAAAGTGTTTTAATGAGACACTTTCCCTAATATTCCTAACAGTCCTTCAAACTGACTTTTGCTATGGGTCCTAACAAGACAGTTCATTTTTTCCAGTAATTTCTTTAATGATTCAGGAATGCCTTGTTCTCTGGTACAAGAAATGAAAGGATTTTTAAAATCATCTTTTTGAAATGCCTTAATTCTCACTGTACATTTTAAGTGTGGAACCACTGTGAGCCATCCAAGAAAAACTACTGACTGCCTGTATCCTGTCTGGAGCTTAGATAAATGTATTTACCTGCTTGGAATTAAGCACACAGAAACTTCCCTCTTAAAAGTGTTCTTGAGAAGCAACATACAAGATTTGCTATTTCCCTTGAAATATGGTGGTGCTATGAGCATATATTTATTATTTTATATGGACATTATTTACTTTTATGTTTGGTTGTAGCAGTTATTTGTAAAATGGGATGCTTTTTGGTCTTAGCCCAATCTTGACCTGAAAAATTTAAAGCATCCACATTCCACCTGCTGCAAAAACAGTTTTTAGCTACAAGGCTAAGGATGGGCTGGAGGTGGGGTGGGAAACCAGGCTGCAGGAAGAGGAATGACTGTGCCACTGAAGCTGTGACAGGGAGGAATGTCAGGCTGACGTGGCCAAGGAGAGAGCACAGGAGGGATCCCCAGTCACAGCTCAGCTTGGGGCATGTCCGGGCTTCCCAATCCAGGAGGATTTCTGCTTCTCATTCAGTGACTGTTCCATATGGAATGTTTAAATGCAGAGATGTCCCAGTGCATTTCCTGGCCATGTACTCCCATCTCCAGGCTTATAAAGAGATGGGTGGTGCTGAGTCAGGAGCGATTACAGCTGCAGTTTGTGACTGACCAAACCCTCCTGCACTTGGGGCTTTCCACAGGCCTGGGGTTGTCTCCCTCAGCCTCCCCAGAGGCCCCTGCAGCTCAGCCCTGAGGGCAGCCCGGGTTTCCACAGGTTGGGCAAGGTGACACAAGGAGACTCACAAGCTCCAGGGTTAAGCAGTCACCAAGGTCTTGCTGAAATTTTTGGACTCAAGCCTAAATACTGTTGTGTACATATAGCCTTTCTTTAAATTTGATATCAGTGTTTGACTTCTGACTGCCTTCCTGTAAATAAGAAAATTTATTTTTTAGTGAACCCTGCTTGGCTTTAATTTTTATTTCTAAATTAAATTAACCTAATACAGTTAGATTCTTTGTATTCAGGGGAAGAACTGAGTTGATGGAATAATATGTTACTATATTACTATTCTGTCCATGTATCTTTCATTTATGCCCATCAATGAACACAACTGATCTATATAATACAAGATGCATCATTTTCTTCACCTCAAAGTCTGTTTCAGCCTGCTAAAGCAAAGAATGAAGCCTATTTGCCTGTAAGATAATTACAATAATTATCACCACCACCATAAAAGGAAGACATGCCCTGTATGCAATCCCCTATCTCTACACAAATTAGTATTATGTAACAGACATAACACTCATCTAATTGTTAATTGCTTTCAGAAGCTTGGTACATCTCATGATCTTACGGAGGTGTTTCAGGTCTGAATTGCCAGTGAAGAAATTACAAACAGCAGCAGGCTTGGAGTCTGTCCGTGTCTCCAAACACTCACCAGTTTTCCTGTAGCACTCTGGCCTCCCTCATTCAACCACAATCCAGGTACCATCGCAGAGAAATATGGTCCCCAAACACCAGGCACAAAAATGGGGGATTCACTGACCTGGAAAAGCAACAGAAAGATGTAGTGAATCAAAGTGCTTGTCAAAGTAGGAACTTCACAATTAAAGCTTGGCAGCTATCAGAGTTCAATGATGAGACAATTTCTGCTTCTCCACTGAAATTACCAACAGAAGTGGAGATATACAGGTAGAAATTTACTCTAAAATGGCATGTAAAAAATGTTTTCCCCCATTTACTTAATATGTAGATGACAAGACACAGTCCACAACCCACTCATCCCACTGACAGAACAGCTGGGCCTGGCCAAACAGAAAGTAAGAAATTTCAGGAATAGGAGCTGTGTTTTATGGAGAGAGGGAAACTGCCTCATTTCTCCAGAAAAAGGCCTTACTTAGAGTGACCAGTGGGATACAACACTCTGCTCAATTGGCATGAGCAAACACAGGCACTGTAATCGGCCACAGGAGTTTCCAGAGCACCCATGCTGAACATTTGGAGAGTTCAGAATCAGGAGGGAGCCCTGCTGGCAGAGGACAGTGGTGTCCCTTGAGATCTGCCATCCTCTCCCATGCTGGCAGTGGAAGCCCAAGCTCCAGTGCCCTCACAACGGTGCCAGGAGAGTCAGGTGCCTGAGGTGGAGGCTGCAAACCTGGGCTGGCATCTGCTTGGGTTCAGCAGCAAACACCAATCCATCTGCCTGGCTAAACACCAGGTTCTGCCTCTTCCTTAGGCCTAGCTTTACAAACCACTCCTTCCTTCACACCTGTGAGGGCAGATCAGGCAGATATCTGAGCAGTGTCCCCCAGGCACGGGGCACGTGCTCCATCACTTGCACACAAATACCCCAGCACAGTGACAGCCCAGCCCCTGCACTGCCTGCCTTTGTGGTTAGACCACTCAGGATGTGGGAGACACTGGTTCATTTCCTTTCTCTCCTTCAGAAGATGCAAATTAACAGTTTATAAGGGTGGAGGGCATTTTCCTTCCTCTTACAAAGTGGTTTCACTTTCAATAGACCAGACAGACTTTCTAGACTTTCCTTCTGCTTCAGCAGAACACTGCCCAGTCTAGCAAGTAAGGCTCAGCACACACCAGGAACTGGGATGGTGTTGGGTCCCCACTTGCTCCAAAGACTAATTGTGGATGGTTGAACACAGAATTCGTGCAGCAGGGGCTGGAGGACACAGGCCATCCATGCCCTGCCAGGCTTCTCTTGGAAGCAGGATCCATGTTTTCTCTTCCAGGACCACATATATACACTCAAGTTAGACACAGCTGTGATTTCACTGGGAAAAGAGAACAGCAGTGCAGTCCTACACCATCCCATGATTTATGCTGCACTTCCCACTGATGATGGCTAAATCTGCAACTGTTGTTTTCTAGAAGGTGGGAACTACTAGCAGAGAAGGATACAAGAGAATTAATTCCCTAACAAGACCAGTCTCTGTGTTTCCAGTGCTGAAGAGCAAAAAGAGAAGTCTTAATGGGACAATGGAGTTTTTTGTACTTAGACTTAGCTCCTCAATAGCAAAATTCTAGACCCATTGAAGGATGTTCAAGGTTTGCTGTTGAATTCAATAAAGCCTAGACTTCACATCAGAACAGTTTTGAGAATAATTAAAAATTCAGGCCTGTTTCTGTTAAACTTGGTGCACATTCTCTCTATATTTAAACAGGCTGAACTTTAAAGGCAGTTTTTACTAGCCACTAGGGATTATCCTCCAAGATGCAGTTTACTGGCATTTGTGCATCACACATGTTTAGTAAATACAGCAGCAGGGAGGTTTCTACACAAACAATAGTCTGCTCAAGCCATAAACTTACAGTACAGCTGATTCTTGTCAGGAAGTTAAGTAGGAAAACAAAACAACAAAAATTTGTTTTTCAAAATACATCACCACAGTGTCAAGAAATGCTGATTTCTCTCAGGAACACATCTAACAAATCTGGGAATCCTGCTTGGTTCTCCCTTATCAGCTCTGATGCCCTGATTTACTCTGCCTATAGATGTATGTGTACACACACATGTCTGTGTGTCTGTGCAAGATTTTGGCTGACTAAACCCATTAAAGAGCAAGAATAGCTGCACTGAATTTACAAAGGCATTTATGACTCCAAGTGGACGAAGCTACGTCAAAAACATTGCAAAGACATTTGGTTTTGTTTTGTTTTCTCTTAAAACTACAAATTAATACAGCTTTGAGTTTTCATCACCTCGATGGGGCAAGCCTTCTTTTACGATTTCAACAACAAAATGAAGTGCAACAAAAAGCAAGTCCTAAAACAAGCTGATTTTTAGACCAATTCCACTTCACTGACCTTACTGAGAACACAGCATTTGGTCAAAGTTACCAGTCAGGATCTGCTCTGAACTGGTGATGGAAGCAAGGGGGAACCCAAACATCCCAACTCATTCCCACCCTACAGCACAGAGCAGGAGGTGACAAGGAACATTCAGGGCAGAAGGGGCCTGGGGTTTTGAAGTCTTATCTCAAAATATTTGTGATGTAGCGAACTTTGCAGCATTCTGCAGTCTGCTCAAGGAAAAAATCTGGTTATGGCAAAGGGATCAAGCTTAAAATCCAACTGTTGTGTCACCTGAATAAAACAAGTTGCCAAAGGACATTAAAGGCATTGAGACGCTTTATGAAATCAGGGGAAAGTCTAAACATTAAGAAGGACAATAGAGTTTATAAAATAAAGAACAAAACCCAGAACAAAACCTCTTTTCTGTCATTAGTCACAATTTACCAAATTGTCCTGTAAGTTTGACAACACCAAAACATTTAGCTTCGTTAAAAAACCAAATTCTCCCTGCAGCCAGTACTCCTGGCCTAGTGTTTTGGACACTCACAGGAATTTAGGACAGGATATTTCCATGCTGGCTCTTCTCACATTACACTGAGACCTTCCTATCCTCTTACCACCAAAGTACCATTTGTACACATTCCAGCAAACTTTCAACACATGAACAGAGCAAACGAGGGCATTGGGAATTGCCACACTGATGAATAAAGCCAGCAGGGCACTTGGTTATCAGTTTTGTTGCTGTGGGAACTTTTAACTGGAATAAAGAACACTGGCTGTCATGCTGGGCTTTACTGATGTGATAGGGCATAATCAGATTTCCCATTTCACTTAAGGAGTTTAGTTCACATTTTGCAGATTCTGGGCTTTGAGGCACATGGAAAGGAGGAAAATTGAGAATAACAAGCTCCCCAAAAGAGACACACAATCTTTGAGAAGCAATGGGGTGAGCATCCTCCTGTAGCTATATGCATCAGAAACAGCAAATGGTTTCCATTTCCCCTACTTGAAATATTTGGATGGTGATTAAATCTTTCAAGCCACGCAGCAGCTGGCATTTGTATTTTCATAATAAAAGGTCCTAATTCTGTTTGAGTATACATCCCACTCAGTCCCACTAAAACACATGACTAGACAGAGGCATAAGGTTGGAGAAACAGTGCAAAGCTTGCTGCAGAACCTAGAAGAAAAGAAAAGCGCAATTTTCCAGATTCAGGCTATTTTGGTTACAATAACACCATGTCTCTTTTACAGCTTTCAATTGCCTTCAGACATTCTTATGGTGATATAGGAGGATCAATGTCATTATTTTTTTTCCTTTAATGAGCTTAAGAAAATCCTTAATCTTTTTAGTAGAAAAACAACATGTGTTTCAGATTTATGGGCAATTGATTTTTATTTTTAAAGCAAATAAGATATGTCATCCTTCTCTGGAAGTTGAAATACGAATTCAAAGGGAACCTAAGATTTTCTGCCTTCCATTGAACTGAAATTCCTCCTGTGACACACTCCCACTGTGAGACATAGCAACAGTTATTATCTTTTATATAGAGTGAAACTGAAACACAGAGAGGATATCCTATGCTAGAGGTGAGAGTGATCTCTGCACAATTAATGCAGCAGGAATTTGAAGACAGAAGACAAGAGGAATCTGAACCTGTTCAGACTTTGAGTCATAAGCTGCATCTATAAATATTTCAGCTGAATGTGTTCACACAGGGACTGTTGCCCTCATGGGTGATATGCCAGCTTAGACAAGGATTACCCAGACATGCAATTCCACCTCACAGTTACTCTGTCTGGGGATGGGGGAGAATCCTTTTGTGCAAGGAAATGTCACCTTTCCCTGCCTCCCCAGCACACACATTCCTGCTTGCTCAGCCCCATCGTTTTGGATGAAACAATCACTAAGCAGTTCCAAGATTCCTGCTCATTTGATGGGAAAAAACCAGTTCCACACCTTCTGAAAGGGAGAAGAGGGGAAATAAAGTTCTCTCTGGGCGGGTTTAACCTCAGCGTGTGCTTTATAAAAGATCATTCTAATATGTAAGATATGTAAACATTATAGAGCAATCAGAAACAAATGAAAGGATGAATTCAGTTTAACAATATTCAGCTGTGGTGCAACTGCCAGAAGGCACTTTTTGTTATGAATAGATCATTTGGATGAGTTACAGGCCAGACTTGAACCCTGGCGTGCGCTGGGAAAATCAAACTACCTAAGATCAGAAGGTATCAGCAGCACATCTGGCAGCCCACAGAAATGAAAAATGTTTTTAAAATATAAAAGGCTATATAGAACTAAGGTAAATTAAGAAAGGACCTGCTTAAATGGCATTAATATGAGCTCTGTAATGTATTTAATTTAGATTAGTCCTTCCCACTTGCCTCTCCCTTTAAAACAAAGGCAGGCAAAAAAAATCTCCTTCTGTTATAAAAGTCTACCTGGAAAAAAAGGCAGGAGAGGCTAATTCACAGCTCAAGTGAGTGAGTCAGAGGAGTCAGTGCCTTTCACCCAAGTTCAGCTCTCAGGACTGTCCCTGGATTCAAGGACAGGAAAGAACACAGACCTTCACAGACAAGCATCACCTGGGCACCCAGCCATGCCATCAAATGAGCAAGTGACACCATGAGATTTGTTTCACTCAGCTTTGTTTTCCTGGACCAGCCATAATGATCAGGCACATGCTTGTGTTTCCTCCTCAGCTTTATGTAAATGTTACAGCAATCAGA